GTTGTTTTAGATCATTCACTGAGTGAATAGGACTGTTGTTTGTTTTTATTTCATTGATTGTTACTACCTTCAGTGTCTCGCACAATGGCAGACCGGCAATGGCTGGGCCATTGACATCTACTATATAGAATGTCTGTTTGGACCAATCTGAGGTTTTATACCTGCATAACATCTGTATCATCCCTATACAGTGTATATCTGACCCGTTGTAGGCAGTTAGTCTGGCAGTTGTTGGTTTTAGTGCAGCATTCCTGTTGTCTTTGTACATTTGTTTGAGAGCACGTAGGGGCAGAGTGTTCCCGCTTGATCCCGTGTCTATTTTCAGGTGTAATCGGTGACTCCCTGTCTTATTTTGGCATATGATATCGATCATGTATATGCCTCTGTTACTCCAATTGAGTGAATGACATTGTTCTGCTGGGTTGCTTCCTTAGCTACTTCAATTGAGTGAAAGATTTCATCACCTGAGGTTTCTGCTTCATCGTCATGATCATATTGAGTATCATTAGCCATCTCGTTAACTGAATATTTACGATGGTACTGCTTGCGGTTACCGGATCTTTCTCTGTGTCTAGAGGGTGTTCGATTTCGTCTATGTGGCTGGTGATTGTGCTTGTTTCCCCCATCTCGGGTGAACCTTGACTTTCGGCATACATTCGCCCAATGTCCTTTAATCCCACATCTCTTGCATGTGTCGTAATAAGCTGGGCACTTCCGTGGTGGGTGTGTACTGCCACAGTTTCCACATGACGTCTTTCTTGGATTTTGTGGTTTAGATATGGCGTTGACTGTGTGTGAGCTCAGTGTTTGTAGGCATTCTTTTCCAGCAGCTATGGCTTCATATTTGCGTCCATCTTCGAGGAGTTGCTCGATTTGGTGACCTTTGGCTTTCTAGAGTAGATCTTTCTAGAATGATTCTATTTTGGTTGTCGCGATGACCAGTTCCATTAGTGTGTTCAGACAGCTCATCGTCTGTAAAGTCACACTCTTTGCGTTACTGCGACACCTGTTTACAAACTCATCTAGGCTTTCTGTCTTCTGTTTATACCTCATGAGTTCAAGGCGATGTATTCTAAAGCTAACCTTAACTTTAAGTTGGTTGTCGAAAATTTCCCAAATCTTCATTGGATCCTGCTGGTCGGTTTCTGATAAACCTGAAGCGTTGATTTTTCGAAGCCCTTCGTTGCCTAGTGCAATTTTGATTTTTATAGCTTGTTTAGCTGCTTCCGTTACCTCATTGTCGATCAAACACAATTCCATTCTCTGTTTAAATAATTTAAACTCTTCCGCCAAATCTGTGGCCTTCCAGTTCATTTCTGGATATCGTGTCATTGCTATAGTATTATTAAACTGGATACAGTAGATAAAAATTGTTAGCATAGTGATTGCAAATGAATAAAATTGTTATACGTTAGGTTTTGTATGTGTACACAATCAGAATCATATACAGTAACATATAATAGTAATACAACTCTATGATATAACAGACGTTATCTGTAAGATTAAGCCTATGCAGTACATGAAAATACAGTACACAATATTATCGTTAAACTGTCGTACAGCTGTAGTTCAAGCATAAATGGTTTAAGGAGAATATTAATTAGTAAAAACATACAGTACCGTACTTTTAACACAATTAAGCAATCGTTCTGTCAAAGGGTAGTTCGTATATAGTCCACTAAATCCAATTGTTTTCCAGTTTAGATCAATATACAGTAACCTGCTATATCTTCTCACACAAGGTTGTTTACCAAAAGTAGATGTCCGTGCGTAGCTCGTCGATGCTCGAACACTGCTGGTTGTCACGGCGATTCTTGCTGGTTGCTATGCTGGTAGTGCGACGCACTGTCGTTGTCAGGTCGGCTTGCAATTATCGTTGTACACATTTTCAGTAGATGGGCCTAGGCTCAATATGAAGTATGGTTCGAAAATCTGCTCTAGTTCAGTACCGTAAAATTGTTGAGTTGACCGTTAGCCTAGCCTTTAAAAGTTCCTTGAAAATATTATGTTGAGACCTGTCTCTTATACACATCTAGATGTGTATAAGAGACAGGCTGGTTGTCACGGCGATTCTTGCTGGTTGCTATGCTGGTAGTGCGACGCACTGTCGTTGTCAGGTCGGCTTGCAATTATCGTTGTACACATTTTCAGTAGATGGGCCTAGGCTCAATATGAAGTATGGTTCGAAAATCTGCTCTAGTTCAGTACCGTAAAATTGTTGAGTTGACTGTTAGCCTAGCCTTTAAAAGTTCCTTGAAAATATTATGATAATATATTCAGGTCTAGAACGTCTCTCTCTCTCTCTCTCTCCCTCTCTCTCCCTCTCTCTCTCTCTCTCTCTCTCTCTCTCTCTCTCTCTCTCTCTCTCTCTCTTGCTAGCAAAGTCTCAGAACTAAACCAAAGTTCAAAGCGTTCGTATTTCTGCAGCGCACGCGACCAGTTTGGTGGTGGTACAGATAGGTGGCTGTTCGTCGGCTAGCTGCAGTGCTCACAGCTAGGCTCAAAACAAAATAAAATGTCTAATATTCACCTTTTCAGTTGGTGTGGGTTATAATCAATCCTACGGCTGTCACCATTTTGTGTTACAGGGTGGTCGTTGAGACACTAACAGGCAGACACACTGACTATCAACTATTATGTAACATAACATGTAGTTTATTCAGATATGCCAGTAGGTACCGTGGATCGGTTCCATGCGTGTGCGTGCGTCTATATACACGGTTGATTCACGTCACTAACGTGACGTATCACAACAATCCCCAATTACGGTGTAAAAAAAATAATTCTATAGAAATCCATTTATAATTATATAGAAATTGTATTATACATTCTATACATTTATCTGTTTAATTTCGAACGACTTTCTAAACAATTTATCCAAAGTCGTTCAAAATTAAATAGAAAATAAAACGAGAATTCTATAGGATTTTTCTAAAAAAAAAATATAATTTAATAGACACTATATTTACAAAATCTAAAGGGAAAATATATAATTTAATCTAGAAATTGAATTTAAATAGAATTCTTTCTATAACATAGTTTTCTAAGCAATTCTCTATATAATTATAGAACTATCTCTATAGAGAATGGATGGGTCTTATATAGAGAAAAACAAATCTTGGATCAATTTTCTATAGAATTATATTTCTATAGAACTATCTCTATAGAGAATGGATAGGTTTTATATAAGTAATTATTCTTGGATAAATTTTCTATAGAATTCTATAAAAACAAAAAAAAACAAAAAAAAAACCCGAACTCTATAAAATATTTTACTACTGGATAGAAAACAATGTGGTGGCCTAGCTGGGCCTAACCTACTCTAGGGTTGGAAGAAATCGCCCTGCCTAGGCCTAGCTAGCCTGTGACTGTATGTTGAAAAAATTGACGTAGGCCTAGGCCCTAATAATATTCATTGTTTTAAAATTTCCTCAGCAAGCAATGTGTTTTGATGTAAAGTGAGTAATGATGTCAAATATATATGAGAAATTATGAAAAATATTATAGGCCCAACTTACGTGAGAGTAGAATTGAGACACCTGTACAGACTAAACTTTGCAAGTCCTTTGATACATGCATCACTGATTTTCAGACATTTCTAGCACCCTGCTGTTTAATATGTA